AGTCAGACAACTCACGTGTTTCTTTAACATGTTTATTAGAAGTAGCATATAGTTGAGTTTGGCGACTAGGCTCGGGCATCATCACTCCATAGATATACATAGCACGATGAGTGATGATCAAATAACTAACCCCCCGAGCCTACAGGTGGAAGCTGGGGTGGAAGCTGGGGTGGTGGGGGGGCAGGCAAGCAGCAGCGACGTGGAAGTAGCAGCAGCAAGCAATGCATGGAGAGAGATCTGGCAGGTTAAACAGGGCGGCATATTAAGGAGACTCTGTTTGGTTAGTTGTAGAGTGGCAAGCGGCGTTATGTATGAATAAGGCATAAGTGCTCGAGTTGACTGCCTGAACTAGCTCGCAGGCTTTGCCCATTTAATGGGTTTACTAGATTTTTTCAAACATCACTTCCCCAGTTTTAAACATCAAGGTCGTACTCCGTCTGTGCTTACAGTTTTGTTAGTAGGTTAGGAGTAAAGGTTGTGGTATTTCAGCCGCTCCCCCATCATTTTAGTGTCAGCTAATTGTGCTCACATCCTCTTACTGTCCAACTGTGTATATCAGGTTGCGAGAAAAAAGTCATTAAGATGTTGATGTGTTGTACAATACTTCCATCAATATTGTTGTCAGTGTAGCTTACACCTCAGCTCACCTTGAAGTATCTCTGACTTGTTCTGCTCCCTCCCTTCTGAAACCTTTATGGCCCCTCGATCAGATGTTATATTAGAAGGCTAGTGCTGCTGATTGCACTGAAAATACATTCTCCTGAATATTCCATGGTTGACTAAAGGCTGTGCCACTGACAAAATATTCAAATCAAATTTTAAAAATAACAAATCAAAATGTAAACAAATCACAGTAATTGTCATGTTGATACACATTCAATTAAAGAGTGGAAAAATAAATGAAAATACAGAACACTTTCTTAATTAAGTGCATGATTTTCCTTCAGAGATCACAGACTCTTTTAATTTGACTTCTCGGCTGATTTTTTGAAAGCTGCATTTGCCACAACCCCAACCCCACCTGCTAGGGAGTCCCGAGTGACATTATTATGTGGCGACAGCTTATACTGATAAATAATTAATCAGAAAATCATCTCACTAAAGCTTCTCTTTTGAATTAGGTTTGGTATGATAAACAATTAAGCAATGAAATCAATCTGTTGCCCCCTAAAGAGTTTAAAGCTCCTTCGTTATTGCAGATTTTTGCAAATATCTTAAGAAATGGTTTGCTCTAAAGTTACTGATAGGAATGGTGTGAATTATGTCAGTGCATATAATTTATATTCTGGTGTTCATGTTGGAGATATTTATGTTGTCCTCTAGAATTACTGATGATAGTGTGAATTATGTCAACGCTGACTTCTGCATGTAATTTATACTCTGGTGTTCATTTTAGAAATATTTATGTTGGGTTATTAAATATATTCATGCAGAGGAGTGGCTGATGTGTTCGCCATCTGCTTGGATTGTCCTTGTTCTGTCCAACTCATGTCCTGCATAATTCACTCTTTCTGTCTCTTCTTTGAAGAGCATCTGTGCTTTATCAAAAAGGAACTGTTTATTATTCCTGCTTAAGCGGACAGGAAATTCTTCTTTTTTTTTAAACTTACAAAAGATGCATATTTTGTTCCTACAGTGTGATAGTCATGACTCTCTGAATGCATAATGCTTATCAGTAGAACGTGGTACACATAGACCCTCTGTTGGTGTCATTAAGTATTACACCATGTTGGGAATTTGAAGCTTTTATAATGTAAATTCCTTCATATGTGGCACTAACAGCCCTCTATTGAACCACGTGTGACGGAAAAATACTTCATAATATTTATAAACTCAAAATCTAATGTTACTGCACATACTTTCTGTACATTTGAAACATGTTTTCAATTTAAGTTTTTTTAATTCTCTCAGTAATTTATTCTCGTCAAAGCTGTATAACAGACTGGTTGCTCTCCTAGGCCTCGGATGGCACCGTGTTCGATGTGTGGCAACTACTTTTTGAGTAATTAAATACATTAAAATATGAATAGCTTAAAATATCTTGAGCTCTTGCCTCGTATCGTCTGTATAAATAATTTGCTTTCAGTTGGTTTTGTTCTCCAGCTCTGGAGCTGTTCAAACATTGAGTTAGTTCGTTCCTGTTTCAGCCACCCGATGTGGGTCAAAACATGGCCACTCAGAGGCTTTAATTCCCCCGATCAGCTACTGTTTTATGATGGATAAATGATGTCCTTATTATGATTGGACTTTAATAACAGTCATAACATCAGTTCATTACTGCCTGCAGGGAAATGCTTTTTTAGTTTGGACCCCCCCGAGGCAGGTGAAAGCTCGGCCTGAGCTTCTGTTGGAGGATCAGCGCTGCAGATGCTTACTAACACCAGGGCTCGGCCTAATTATGCCTTTCACCATTTTAACAGTCCATGACGTCTAATTCTTGTGTAAACAGTGTTTTCCATCCATTAGAAGTAGGGACTAAAATGCCTTGACACACACCGTTTTGTTCTATGTAAGTTGCGTTTACTGAAATACCAGAATTGGCACTTCCTGTCGGCCAGGTTTCCTTTGAAAAAACTGTTTTATTCTCAGTGACATTTTCCTGTATCACAGGTCAAATAAAGGTGTTTTGTGAAATGTTTCTCATCTGTTTTAAGTTTATTTACATTTATTTTTGTATTGCCTACTGTATTGGGCTTATTTATTTGCCCTTTGTGAGAGATGATTTTCGCTTTATTTTAAAGTCTGTATGAATATTTGTATAATAGTAGTTTTACACAAATAACTTGACACACATATGATTTCCTAACATCTACATACAAATTGAAAACGGATAAATGACAAAGGGATTCTTTAAAATATTTTTTCTTTCAAATGTACACATCCAACACTTAACACGGAGCTAAAAGCTTTTTTCCCCCTCTTGTTACATTCCCTTGTCTTCTGTTTGCAAACCACATTGTTCACCACAAAGAGTATCTGTTACTGTTAGACACTGTCCTATATTTGACATTGTAGAAGAGAGAAACCTGATCATATAGTAAACAGTGGCTGGGTCTATAATTCCACATCCTGGTTTTAATGTATCACAAGAAGGAGGAGAGCTTTTTTTTTCTTTTTCTGAACACCTTTCCTCGAAGGCGTGGTAATCAGGGAGTGTTCAGAGATTCAGAAGCACTCCTGTATATACAATACTTTGCTGCTGACTGGAAATACTTGACGTACATTTCAAAGGTCTCAGCTCTTTTGGGAACCAAAAGTTATTTTGATCTCAAATATGAGAAATCGAGGTAAGATTTCACTTTACTTCCAAAACAAGTAGTCAAGCTTTTATGTCTGCCAATCTTCACCTATCTGCTCTTTGTGGTTTCAGCTGTTCTGCCACTTGCTGCTGTAATAGTTGTCCTCCTAATAACCTGGGCAGTCTCCTTCAATTCATTCGATGTACAGGAGAAAGCAAGGAATATTCTAAGTGAGCTAACTTTTACTTATTACATCACAAATCTTGAACTACCTCTCCTCATTTGTATTTGCCACATCTTAATAATACTGAGCTTTTATTTTAGGGTTCAATAAAGTTAATGTTACCAAACCAAAATTCAAAACAGGTATATTTAATCATGATAGATGTTGACATAATATGCCTATACACATTAACTATGTTTAACTTCCTGCAAAATCAGAAGTAATTTTCCATGTGCATTTTCAGTTACAACAGCACCCAAGGCAAAGTGCGGCCTCTCCAGAGTCTGTCCGCCCGACCATTTTGCTTTTTACATCGTCAGCGGAGCAGCTAATGTAGTCGGACCAAAGATATGCTTTGAGGGTAAAATGTGCGTTATGTTATGGTTAGTACCTGAATTGACGAAGGATTGTAATGTGTTGTATCTCAACCGTATTTGTATCTCAACAGCATTATGAGCAATGTGAAGAATAATGTGGGATCAGGATTGAACATTGTGGTTGTAAATGGTGAGTGAAATTTCAGATTTAGCCGATTCTGTACAGTAGTAACACTTCTTGTTTGAGCTCATATTGTGTGGGCTGTATTCCTCAGGGTGCAGAAGTCACTATGAATCAATCACTGTTCCACTTGGGGCACATGTAGATGTCTGTTCCAGTGGTGCAGATTTGTAGGCCCAGAACTGACTATATATCCCCATTCTGAGCAGCCATTACAAAGCAAACTGATTCAACATTTGGTTTTTAAAGGTCATCTATTATACAAAATCCACTTTGTCATGTCTTTTATACATAAACATGTGTCCCCTCTGTGTTAAGAGATTCTGAAAGTTTCAGGAAAAAAGATTTGCTCACTTTTAGTCCTGATCCATTTATATAAAAACCTGTCTGAAGATGAGCTGATCAGATTTTAGCATAACGTTTTTTTTGGCTTGTGTAACCATTAGCCAATAACCAACCAAGGCAACACCCCCCACCTTATCACCTGAATCTCCTCCTAGAGCACCATTGTGTTCTTTTTAACCAAATCTCTCTCAGAGGGGTGTGTGGAGTGGCTCCTTATTTTCATCTAAAGTAACAGACACAGAATCAGCACTTTTGAAANGGTGGAAGCTGGGGTGGAGCTGGGGTGGAAGCTTGGGTGGTAGCTGGGGTGGAAGCTGGGGTGGAAGCTGGGGTGGTGGTGGGACAGGCGAGCAGCAGCGACGTAGAGGTAGCAGCAGCAAGCAATGCATGGAGAGAGGTCTGGCAGGTTAAATAGAGCGGCATATTAAGGAGACTCTGATTGGTTGGTTGTAGGGTGACAAGGGGCGTTATGTATGAATGCAGCATAAGTGCTCGAGTTGACTGCCTGAACTAGCTCGCAGGCGTCGCCCCATATATGACATGAGATTAAGCAACGGTTTGCAACTCAAATGAAGGAGGTATACAAAGTGCATAGGCAGCATTCATGATTCTACAAAGAGACATTTTATCACATACGTTTTGGAAATCAGTAACAGAGACGTGGCGGAGAGTAGATATCTGTTCTGACTGCCATCCGTGCCCAAAAATAGAAACTTCTCTCTTCTGAACGTAGCACAGGTTTATGATGAATTATGTAAACTGGCCTGAGTGCTGCTGACCTGAAGACTGCACTCTGTGACACTCAGGACCAATTCCAAACCAACCCATTCACCCTCAGACAGCGTGAACTTGGTCTGTAGTCTAATATTACTTATTGAAGGTGGAGGGTTCAGGACGGACTCTTTGGCAGAAACATGAACTGACTTCACGTGATGTCGATCAATCAGCATCTCTCGGATGAAACATTATGAATAATAACTATAATAAAGAATCTTTAGTGGCGCCTTTTGTTTTTAAATCCTATGTTTATGAGCTGTTGCAAATATATAGAACTTCACAATCAAGTGCACATCTCTGCCCAGAATCAGACTCGAGGTCGAGAGAATAAGATGTAAGACAAGGTCAAAAATATACAATTCTAAAAAGGAAATATAAAAAAGAAACAATTTAGCATTAGAAAAGAATACCGACAAGTATTTGCAACACATTTAAATGTAAAAAATAACGTATTACAATTAATCTATACAATACAGATTTATTTATAGAGCACTTTAAACCTCCAGACCAAAGTGCTGTACAGTCAAATAAACAAAACAAAACATACAAAAAGTAACTCAGTTCAGCTCACACACCATAAAACAAGTAACTCTGTCATCAGGGTCGAAAACAGGGTGCCGACCTAATGACCATTGAGAGAGATGTACCCCCAGTCACCAGGAAGGGCAGTCGAGCAGACGTCGACCGACGTCTTTACGGGCGTCGTGTCAACGAAAATTGACGTGTGCCTTTATACTGGTGGTAAAGGGTAAAGCGAAGCGAGGTGCGCCGACAGTTATGTAAAGATCTTAAGTAAAGTTAGGGACGAAAATAAATTCGAAAATTTGAGGGATTTACCGTAGCTGGGTGTTATAAAAGACTCGACGATGGCGGGAATGTCGGGTTGGCGGAGAGTCCAGTCCGACGTAGGAGGACTTGCACGTGTCTAAGGTTCAGTTTCGAGTCTCCCCCGGCAACCGAAGAGACATCGCCGGGGGTGTGACACCTTCGCTAGACGGGTCGTTTATTCTGCCAGGGTGTGACACCTTGCTAGACGGGGGACGTGTAGCTGTGCCAGGGGTGTGACGCCTTGCTAGGACGGGGACGTGTAGTCTGCCGGAGGTGTGAACACCTTGGCTAGACGGGACGTGAGTACTGTCAGGGGTGTGACACCTTGCTAGGACGGGACGTGTATCGTGTCCGGAGGGTTGTGTACCCTTGGCTAGACGGGACGGTGAGTCTGTCCGAGGTGGTTGACACCTTGCTGGACGGGGGACGTGTAAGTCCGTCCAGGGGTGTGACACCTTGCTAGGAACGGGGGACGTGTAGTGCTGTCCGGAGGAGGAGTGTGGACACCTTGGCTAGAGGGGACGTGTAGTCTGTCCGGAGGTGTGACACCTTGCTAGACGGGACGTGAGTCTGTCCGGAGTGTGTGGACACCTGCGTAGACGGGGACGTGTAGGTCTGTCGCAGGGTGTGAGCGCACGCCTTGCTAGACGGGGACGTGTAGTCTGGGGTCCAGGGGTGTTGACACCTCTGCTCAGACGGGGACGTGTAGTCTGTCCGGAGTGTGACCACCTTGCTAAGACGGGACGTGTAGTCTGTCCAGGGGGTGTGACACCTCGTGCTAGGACGGGACGTGTAGTCTGTCCAGGGGGTTGACACCTGCTAGACGGGACGTGTAGTCTGTCCCAGGTGTGCACCTATGCTAGACGGGTACGTGTAGTCTGTCCGCAGGGTGTGACACCTTTGCTAGACGGGACGTGGTAGTCTGTCCAGGGTGTGAGCACCAGCAGAAAAATAACGAAAATTTACCAGGATCGAAC